CCAAAAACAAAAAAACAAAAAAAAACGCACATCATGCCTCACTGTAAGAACTGGTTATCACTAAAAATGCTATTAAAATGTACACCAAACATGCAAAAAAAAGAATTTATAAATTAAAACAACCAAACTAATACCTACCATTACAAACAGAAAATCCATTCACACGAATTATGAAGAATCTATTATGAATTCAAAAACTGGAAATTATTTTCACTTATCTTCAAACTCTATTACATCCAGGAGCTATGACTTCAAGATAGATGAAAGAAATATCTTCAACATAGCATGCACCAATGTACAAGGAAATGATTCTGGGATCCACAAGAAACACAACACATAATATCATCTGCCTCTGACGTTATAGTTTCTTGGCATACCATTTTTTTTTGTGTGCTGTCATATCAACCACATAAAAAAATAAACAATACATTTTTTTAATCAAGAGTGTGATACTTTGCAAACCTTTGAAAACACCTTATTGGTAACATAAAAGCCATATTTTAACCACAGCACGATACCAATAAATGAAAATTCATTATATTCAACTAAAAATGTTTTCGTAGACCCACATGCAACTGTCTAAATAAACAATACTAATTTCAGGGTTATGGTGAAACATACTACTCTGGCTCTTATCTGCAAATAATAATAATAATAATAATAATAATAATAATAATAATAATAATAATAATAATAATAATAATAATAAAGCCCATGAACAATTTAGTATGACATCCAATGGATTATTGTGTCAAACACCCCCCCTCGAAAAATAATAAGCTATTTTACACATTTACCCCCATTCCTTAAATTTTTTCCAAACTTATCTTCAAGTACTACTGTTGGCAACAACAAAAAATCTTAGCCAAAATTCTTCAGCTGCAACTGTCAAACACACACCTATCTGCACAATTGGAAGAGAAAAAAACAAAGAACAAACTTTCACAATTTCTTGTTTACTTTCAATCCAAACATTAATTTCATTAAATTATGACTGGAGCCAAATATATGGGCTCTATTAATAACTTGCATTTATTGCTTGCAAAGAAATTTACAATGTTTCAAAATTTTAATAAATTCCTAAGTATGAAACAACATAGTGTGAATTATTTTACAAAGATACTTACATGTAAATAACATAATACCAAACAATGGTTTATATAATATATTAATTTGAATTAAAAAAACATTGTGTGTCAATTTATAAATAAATGCACCCAATAAAAAACCAAAAAAATCATAAATTAACTACTGTGTATGAGAAAAAATTATATAGACTGTTTGAAATATTAAAATGAGCTTACATTTTCAAACCTAAGTTACAAAATTATGTATTAAGTTTTAAATGTTATTTTGAATTGAATTTCATGTGAATCCATTCATACAAAGAATTAATGAGCAGAGTAGTGGACATAATGTGTGCTACACTTACCATAATTATACAGCATAATCCAAATATAATTTTAACATTACAGTTAATACCTCAATACACAAAGACTTTTTACAAAAAATAAATACATTCAATATCGATGTGGTATTAGCAGCCGCAGAGGAAGGTGAATAGTCCAGCAAAATTATATTCAGTTCTCCAAAATATAATTACATAGTTTCCAGGTTCAATAGAAAAGACAAGAATTTGAGCAAACGTGACACCAATATACTCCATTCAAAATATCAAGACATGAAGCACAGCATTAAAAAAATGCAAAAACATGTATCTACACAATACACCAATAAGGTAATTTATCACTAATAATGTAACTTATATTAAGATAACACAGGTACTCAAAAGTGCAGATGTCAAAAATAATATTATACTTTGAAATACAAGAGAATTAATATCAACTTAAAATTCCCTCCACTTTGTTTTTAGGAAAGCAGTTTCCTTGTGTAAGTAAAACTAACACAATTTGTTACCTGTGATACCTTCAAAGAAATATGAAAGGGTAATTTTTTCACTATTTTATTAACGTCACTATCGTGTGTTGTCAACATATTAAGTTAAAAACAGAAAATTTTAAAAATCAATGTATCTAACAAAAAAAAATACTTTTTAAACAAAAGAAAACATGATTTTGCGAATAATTGCTTCAAATGTATTACCATCCATTCACTATGTAGGGCAGAGACTTGCTCTCGCCTTTTCAGCTTTTAATCTGTTCTAACACCACACAAAGTTTCCAGACACCAGTGAAGAACTCGTATAAGGCTTCCTCCACTAATTGTGAGCTAAAGTAAAAACTTATCAATTGATTTATTTTTAAAGTGAACATACAAATTCAATAATTTTAATATCTTTATCAGCAGTGTTGAGAAAACCATTCCAAAACTGCTGTTATCTGTGTGGTCTAAGCAAAATGTTGAAACGCTTATGAAATAAAATTCATGAATGGATTTTTCATTTCACAAATTTTTAAGGAATTCTATCGTTTACCACCAATCTCAGTGGTGTGAATTAATAATTTTTTTATTAACTTCTATGTATTTAGCATCACAACTTACTCAACAAAGATTCTCTTAAATGTAATGATCGTATGTCAATGATTCACAATCCATCTAGTCCTAAGAACTTAAGGAACATAAGTAAACCCTAGGAGCATTCAAACATAAAAGAGCAACTACTCTGTTCTCAGAATCAACATGAATTGTAATAAGGAATACTCCACGGAATACTTATACAATCTAGTGATCACCGTTGTGAAAATATTAAGTCATCACCTATGAAAGCAAAACTAACAATGTTGATGTAGTGCAAGTCTTTTGACATGACCGCCTTTCTCATACCAAATCAAGATCAAGTAATATATAATTTTTGTTGAAACACTGGAGGGAAAAAGGTTACAATTTTCCTTGACTGTATGAACTTCCATGAGGTATACAACTCAAAAACTAAGTTTTTAATGTTTTGCAGTCGTTTCAAGTAGAGCCACTTTTGTCTGACATTTCCCAATTTTCTGTGAAAAAGACATCATATGAATAACACTAAATTATCGATATTTTGCAAACTGAACAAAATGCAAAAATGTTCTCGTAATTTTAAAAAACAATCCTACAATAAAAATAGTTGTTCGTTCTAGTAAGCTTTTACCTCCTACTCCTCTACACTCCTACTCCAACTACATAAAAGATCTAACCTTACAGCAATAAAACACAGTTCAGTGGATCCCACTCAACCTTAAATCGTAGATTAATCCTCAATCGCTAGAGATCACAAAACCTATGGGTTACCTTCAAAATGTTTCTAATTAAGAGGTCCATAGAAATTTTAAAACCTAAGGGACAATGTGCAATTTGAAAATGAAAGAGAGAAAATACGAATGACAAAGAACATGGTGTGTGTTAACTTTTCCAGAAATTGCATACCTTTGAATTTATTATGGAGAAAAACTATGCAATTTTCCTTGCAATTTTCAAATGCAGAATTTTTGAAAATTCCAATGATTTACTTTTATTTTCTATTACTTCATAAGTCTCTGTAAAACCATTCAATATAAGTAAATGTCAATAGTCTCAAAAACTGATCAAGACTTGTAAATTATTATTTTTTCTTTAGTCTTCTTTCACCAGGGCTCATTAGAATTGATATGTTAAGATCATATTTACAAAGTTTCCAATTCCATTCCAGTAATTTCTACAATTTCAGTTTTTTATTTACACTTGTTTTCAAACTTTCATAAACATTCCATCTTAATATTACCTAAATTCATTTCTCCCGCTGTAAGACTCCTAAATTACAGAAATGTGTTTTTAAATCTGATTCATTATTTTCTTCATCCGAGTACGTGACCAAATATATGACATATTGACAAGAGAGGGATTTGTACTACATGTGAGACAATGCTGAAAATGGTAAATGTATACCAATTCAACTGTAAAAGGCATTAACACGGCAGTAACATCCTCTGTGATTTTTAGAACTCTCTCAACTTATTTAACAGCTTGACACAATTTTCATTTTCTCACAATTATAGAGACAACTAACTGAAGTAATTTCAATAATTTTATGTGTTAAGTAACAAACCAAATGCTAATATTCTAGATAAAAAAAACAATCCCTTTTTACAATCTGACATTTTAAAAATTGTTTCTTTGAATTATGAAACGAACATATGAACACTACCATATTAAATTGTGTATTTTTTTAAAACCCGCAATACCAAATACGTACTTTTAATTAACGAACTTTCAAGTATTAGCTCAAATCTTTAAAATGGCATAAAACCAAACATTAAAGTTTCAAGTCATCATGAGACATTTCAATGAACAATTTAAACTCCAACTAATTGCAATTATCATCTATAGGTTCACAGTAAAAACTATATATTTGTAAATAAATAAAAAATATTATAAATATAACTAAAACAAGTCCCCTCTTTTAGAGAAATACATTGTTGCTTTACTCCCAGAATATCTTTAAAAAGTTTTAATTATTCAGTGTTGTGAAAGAAAATTATAAGCAAGGAGAATTTTCGCAAACCGATGAATTAAAATTCTTCAGCAAGATGTTATTAACAGAAACCTAAACTATGTTCTACATTAACGTCTGAGAAACATTTCACATTCTATTCTCCCACAACAGCCAACATTCTGTTGCAAATGAACTATACGTAAGAGGAAAGTTTTCTTAATAACAAGTTTCTTCATAAATTCTTTAAACTTAGATATTAAGCATCTCAAAGGTTTAAGTTGCAATTAATTGACATATTGGAACACATTCAGTGTATTATTTTCTATTCTTCTTATAAGTTATCTAATCTTTATGTTTTCATATTTCTACCCAGAGAGAAGATGGATAGGAAAATGGAAGAACAAGAAAAGAAAAGAAAGCACATATAAAAGAGGATAACATTAAATACAACACACTCTTGTACACAAATTTAAATTATTAGATCTCTTGTTTTAAGCAAACTATAATCAAATCAACTGGTCATCAATGACTGGCCAAGGGGAGAAAAAATTACCCTTCCATCACTACATGAAAAAAATAAAGGAAACTGTACCTGTAGCAGCTTTCTCAGCAGGGCCAGTAGTAGCGATTCCTGAAGGGCCAGGCTGATCAAGAAGTGCATTGGAATGAACATCCTCACGGTTGTTGCTGTCAGAATCCTCCTGCAAATAATTTAATGTAGATGTAATTAATGAATAAGAAAAATGAAGCTTTAAAAGTGAACTTCTCAGCCATTTTAGAAACAACTTTATTCATACATACTTGCTGCTCCACGCCTGCTTCATCGTCTGGCACACCTCCATCCCCATCCCCTTCAAGAAAATTATCATCTGTTTCCACCTCTTGTTTAATCCTCTGAAAAATAAAGAAATATTAAATTAATATCAACCATATAAAACAAAAGACATGAAATGAAAATAGCAATTATTTAGCTTCCTTACTTTGTCTTTCAACTCCTCCTCTACATCTTCACTAGGACCGTCTGTCCTAAACTGATCACTTGAAGCAGATGGAGCAAGAACAACATTGGAATCAGCCCCGAGTGTACTACCACTAACGGAAGAGATTCTTGGAGTAACTGACTGAGATGGATCTTTCTCATCACCTGGTATTTTTCGTTTCTTCTGGGGAGGTGACTCATGGCCTAATGAGGTTCCCCCCGACAATTCAATATCATTTGGTAAAGAAACAGCTGGTATTTTGGAAAGCGGGGATGAAGGTTGGCGAACCCCTTCTTGCTGGCGATTTGCATTATCTGAACCACACAGACCCCGTATTTGCAGGGCTTCAGCTGCTACAAGAAGAGAATTTAATTCTTCCTGACTCACATTCACTTCTCCTCTGTACATGAAGTCCACCAACGCTTGAACTTCCCAATGTTTCATGTCTTTCATAAATATAATAGGATGCTGGCATGGATTCTGCACTAATAATTTTTCAAAATATGTACTACATGCCGACAAGACAACTTTGTGGCATTTTATCATCTGCCCTTCACAGGCCAGTGTTATGTCCACAAAATGTTCACTATTCAATAGGCGAGGAAATACACTCTGGAGATTGGAACTGTAACTGTTCCATTTGACACAAAATTGTTGCGACTTCACAAAATCTAACATCTTGCGGTCTTCACAAAATCTCAATATTCAACAGCAGTATCGCAGATATACCTGTAAAATACGGGATATTTTAAACCTTAAACCCTTATTTTCAATGCAATCCTTCAATTGCCCCCGCAATATCGCACATGGATTAAAAAAAATACCAACCCGGCGAATAATATTTATCACATAATACGACACATGGTGAACTTAAAAGCAATTTATAAAGGAGAACGCCATTTTTGATGTGGTTTAATCTAGACACTAATTATTAGTTTCCTTTAACACTAAAAGGCAACGTTTGCTTATATTATGAAATTATATTGAATTTCGCCCTGTAGGAAACAATATTAGTGCATACTTCAATGTAAATACAGAATATTACCCTGGCCGCATTTCGGCGTGAAGAATGCTACATTTCTAAAACATCGATAACATGGTACAACACATTCCTATCATACTAACCTGTGAGAAAGAGCCGCAAACGAAAATTTTCAGCTATATATCTTCCAACGAACTATTTATAACAACATTTAACAATTCCACAAAATTAGGAATTCAACCTCCCGTATATTCCGTCGGAAAATTTGCAGATCTTCGTCAATAGTTTACGGAGCCCTCAATTCGTATACTAGTGAAACCTAGGGATGACATTCGTGAACTTCTCATTCTTTTTCTTCGCAGGATGTTCTTCCTCGAAATAGGCCCAGTCAAATCGACAGCATCGGGGCAACGATATAGGGAGAACTCCGCCACCTTTTGGTCATTTGCTGCAACTACATGGAGGAAGTCCATAGACGGTTGAAATACACCGAGCGATATTTGACTATATCATCCACTATAGAAAACTGCGAATGACGCCAAGCAACTTTCGATTTCAACGGCGTCACATTTATTGTCACCCTCCGCACCCCGCAGAAATAGCGTCTTTTTCTTGCCCGCGAATTTTAAAGAAATTCAATATTATTTTGAAGAATTATATCAAATTGTCTAATTCTTTAGGGAAACAAACAAGCAATTTATGACAAAAACTGGAAAAAAATTGAAGAAATAAAAAGGACACACCCTCGACTCCGAGAGGTCTTGCGCACCTTATTGATTTATTCGAACCAGAGAAATGAAAACAGTAATAAAATCAATGTCGCCACGCAGGAGCTGAATCATAAGCGATCTTACATTCAATATCCCTAAAACACATACGGCAAAATGTAATTATTAAAATACCAACTATCTTATGGTAAAAGTGCACAATCTGATCAAAGAACCGGATAAATACTTTATCTTAATGTGTTCTAGCGGCCAAATTTGAAATAAATGTTATAGTAAACAGAATAAAATTAAGTTTTACTAACGATTCGAATCCAACCACAAGTAAATGTCAAACAGGGAAATGACCAAAAACCCTCCATCACCTATAAATTTATCTTAAAGATGCATATTATTTCTTCTATGCAATTATTGTACTTCCGATAGATTTTCGAATTGAGAAATTCACTTGTGTTAAGGTCCGTTTGCGGCGTTGCACGTGTAGTTTCGCTTCCACACCTCGCTGGATTTCTCCTGGTGAAAGGAGACGGAACAGTTGGGTGGAGTCTTGCAGGAGCGGGGAGTGAGGTTTTGAGTAGGTCGCAAGGAGTGGGGCCTCACTCGCCCGTGCAACGAAGTTCTCCTGTGAAGACAATCCCAGTCTTCTGTCAGCTGTGCGAAGTTATGTTGGGTTTACGTTCGTTGAATCTTATAGCGGAACGTGCGTTTGAAACAGTGCAGTTTTGACGTAGAATACTATAATGCGAGTTAATGTTGTTATAACAATACACTCTATTGTTCTCCTAATGATGAAGATCGGAGATGTTATCATTTTAAATCAGTGTGAATGTAGTTCTTAGTTTGGTCGACTAGTCTGTTGACTAAAATGGCATTGTTGGAGTCTTGCTTTTGCTGCAGCCTTCTGGTAGCGTCCGCCACGGCAGGTGTTTATGCTCTGGTACGTAAGACTAACACACCAGCAAGATTCGCTTCGATGAGTAAATTTTGATTCGTTCTCACTATACAGATATGCTTGTGAAGAGACCAATAACCCGAATAATGACAATGAAAACTTAGACAGAAAACATACGTTATCCATCACTGAGTTTCACCATGACTTCCTCTTGGCAAATTTTATACCTGCAATAAAAATGTCATCTTTTTGGGCTATGCGGTTACGTCATTATGTTTTCTTTATTATGTATTATTTATATATTTTATTATTATTAATTATAGTGATATTTATTTTATGATTATATGAGTAGTGTGTTATTAGTATAGGATATATATTTATTTTAATTATTGAGTATTTAGTTATTAGTCACTATCGTAACGCCGTTTTCGTTTTTGGGTTGCAATTGGTTTATTGTACATTCTGTGTACTCGCTACGAGGTTGTTCGATGGGTGGCTGCTGTTTACAATTTTTGTAGGTACTCTGATACGTACTGATTTCTTCTTTCTCCTCTCCATTTTTTGAATGCATTAACATATATTATTATTATTATTATTATTATTATTATTATTATTTTATTATTATTATTATTAAAGCTAACAATTACGAAAGTGCTTTAAATATTAAAGGTGTAGGAAAGTACGCGAAAAAGTTTAACGGTTATTTACCATACAACTTAAATTTATGCATAACTGCTTATATTTTCAACTAATTGTTCATGACATTAATTTAAGATTCGTTTTGAATAACAGATTTCATTTTTTTTATTCTTCAATAATGCAATTGGTGGGTGCTGGTATTTTCCCCACAGTTTTTAAAATTCAGATATTCCATTGAAAATTGGATCTGTACCATTTTTATGAGCGTACTTTGCTCCATTCCCGCAAAAAGTGTTAAGAAAAGAATATAGAGCCACATTTTGATAATGTTCTAGGGGATCGTTTCAAATTCGCAAGGTTTTCAGTGCAGTTAGAACATCTGGGGAAATTCATTTTGGTGAACATCTTCAGAACGGGTTAATCATTAGTGTTGTCAACAAACCTAAAAAAACAACAACAGTTTTTCTATAAGGGACCTCCGAAAGGGGAATTTTAATTGACTACCTATTTGAGAATGTAATATGTTGTACCACGTGTAGGAAACACTTTTTAGTACTAAGGACTCATAAAAGGTGTTTTCTGAGAAAATATCGACCCATTCCTGCAGCATTACTATACTGCATACATAAGACTTTTCGAGAAAGTGAAATAATTTCAAACAGAGGTCACAGGCGTACCCAGCAGGAAAGAAGGGAGGAGGGGGGACTTCATTTCTGAGCCCCTTTTCCCACTTAATTTTTTATAATATATGTCACTAATAAATGAATGAAACCTTCTACGAAACAATTGTAACATTCATTACACAATTAATAAATACTGATATGTTAATAAATACAATTCATACAGCTGCCAGTAGATTCGAGACACGTTGCGTAACTACGTATTTCCCAAATTGTAATGTTAAGAAAAGGGGAAAATCAGGATTGAACATACTCAACCCTCTAGTGCCTCTTGTTACATAAATGTAACCGTATTTCCGGTCAATTAATTTTTTCAGCTTTTGCACTAATTTGCGAATTTTATTTTTTCAATAGATGTAAACATCCTAAACGAAATATATAATCCAGTTTTTTTCATTCGTGAATGTCAGAGTCTAGGAGCCAGGAGCGTCTATAGCGTGCGTCAGTTGGGGCAATTTGCCCCAGGCCTCCACTTAGTGGGACACTGAAAATTTATACAAAATGTGCTTCCTTCAATTAATTTTCGAAAAAAAATATTTAACTATAATTGAAATAAGATTCACTTTAAAATATATTATTAACTAATATTAATAATAACAATTAATAAGGGGAAGTTTGTGGTGCGGGTAAAACTAAAATTCATTGGATTATAAATTACAAAATTCAACAGAAACCCAAACACTTTTACTGGGCTTTTGTGTATGCCTAGGCTTTTAGTTTCAAAAGAGCTTTGACACTTCGTCTTGCTTATACACCTAGATACTATAAAGTGACTGATATACACTAGTATCTTTACGTAACTTGAGTTGTTGAATTTAATAACGAAGAGCATGGTCCGTTTTTCTGCACCGTCAAAATGTTTCTCTTCTAATTTAATTCAACAAAACGATTTTTGTTTCAGCCTATCAACGATATCACCTAAAGGTTTCCCATAATGCATAGAAATAAATAGAACCTTGATAACACCACCAAAACTCAGTAAAATCAGTCAAGAATTAGGGTACACTTAAAAGACACCTCACCATTTCATAAGTTCCTACTGAGCGTTCGAATGTGGCTTTTCGTCAGGCATGACTGCAGTGGCATAGTTAGAGGAGGGGGGGGGGTCTGCACGGTGACATTATTTTAAGGGTGACACCAATTTTAAAAAATATATTTTTAATTATATAATTTTAATGATATATTTCAAATTATATTTTAATTATTCTAAATTACATAGAGTTTTAATGTACGCGTTCAAATATACGTGTACATTTATTAAATACTGCATAAACTATTCAGCAAAATAAATTTTTATATTTAATTTAGAGGGGGTGATAGCATTCTTTTTGTCCCGGGTGACACCAACTGCATCTACGCTACTACACGACTGGAAACCGCCAACCAGCCGAGATTCTCCCAACGTAAGGATGAGCAGGAGCGCAGAAGATATGAATAGCTACAGCTGGTTGGGTCATCAAGAGCTAGGGATGAGCTCTCAATTCGATGCGCTAATGTGAGCAAATCCTTTGCGAACTTCTCATTGTTTTACGGCTATTTCTTGTGTCTCGTAACTATATTGCTTAAATATGCTAATTAATTATTCAGTTCTTGTCTAAAGTATTTAAAATACATTTTTAATAGTTTTTCTTGGCCATCGCTGCATTTATCGAGGTCCGTGTTTGTAAAAGATTTTTACACTTTAGCTTCCTTGAAATCAATGATTTTATTTACCGTATTTACGCGATTCTAATGCGCACCTTTTTTTTTTACCAAATGTGGAACTAAAAATCGTGGTGCTCATTAGATTCGATAGCGCGTTAGAGTCGAGTACAAATCCGTTCCGTAGAACGCCAGAAACGTCAGTCATTTTTTTCGTTTATTAGTTCACAATGGATTGCTGGAGTTCACAAATTCAACTTCGCTTCATTCATCATTGGCGTATTATTAAGTTTTTCGTTACGATGGAGGGCAATAGTCATAGGATCATTTGTTGTATAAATACATTTAAATAAAATACCGTACCTGTTATTCTGTCACTGATGCGCATTTAATTCGATAAAAACCCTTTTTTCATAATGTTAAGTTTCAAATACGGGATGCGCATTGCATCAACACCGTCTCTATCTCGAGAGTGTGTTGATTGCATTCGATGGCGCATTAGATTCGCGTAATTACGGTTAATGCTGCATCAAAAAGACAAAGGACGACTTTTTTCTTCAATCCAAAATCTTAGTAAAAAGTATAAAAAAAACAAAAAGAGGTTAAAAACTCATTTTGGAATATAAGTATTCATTAAGTCAAGGGGTTGAATTTGTAAATGGCAATTTCGTACTACCAGTACTGCATGTTTGGAGACGAAAAATCTTTAATTTGATTTGATATATTTTCGTCATAGAAAAGTAAAAACTATGAAGTGTAGGAGAGAAGCACATTCTGGGCTCGTTTTTCTTGCGAATAAGTTAAGGATACCTTGCCCAGTGTTTCCTAGTGTTAAAGTCTCATTTTACATATACCTATTCAGTATTGCTGAACCAAAATGAGCCAATTTCTAATATAAAATGATGAAAAAAGAACGTTATACACGAAGTTACCTAACGTTGAAAAAACTTTGTCATTGCCATTTAAATAATAAAATTATTGACACGGCATATGGTTTTATTCTATTTTTTATCTCCCGGATTATTTACATATCATTGTAATTAATATTTGGGGAGAAGTTATCAAATTACCACTTTGTTTAAATGATAACCGTCCTCATTTACAAAGAAATTTTAGTGAATCTTTTCTGAAAATGAATCAAGTTGAGAAACAACATCAACAACAAAAAACAACTTAAGATACATCTGAAAACTTAGATATCTGTACCTTAAGCTGAAGTTGATTATAATTTTTGGGGTTTCAAAACGCTCTGTCTGTTTTTGAAAGAATTTACAAAAGGGAAGTAGGAGCCATAACGTTTTTGTTTCCTCATCCTCATTCTTACATTCATCGAGAAATCGTGAAATAATAAATAGTGGGTGAAATGATGATTTGTACTTCATCTGGTATGCAATAGTGATTAATATAAAGTTGAAAAAGAATAAGGTAAATTTATCTGCAATCAATTATAGTAAAAACAAATTTTGATTCTTTGTAGTGTTTGTAGACAGAAGTCGACTCTAGAATTCAAAGTTATTTCCGCCTTAGAAGTCTGCTCCAAGAATTACCACATACATCAGACATTGACTTCTTCACGTTGTGGTTTATCTATTTTCTAAAACTATAAAACTCAACGAAATGGAAGCAAGGAGTCTACTACAATATGCCGATTCAGAAAAAAATCGTCTTAACCAATAAACCGGCAATCACTTGGCCTGCGGACCGTCAATTTTATGGCCCTGTTAAGTTTCATATTGAGATATGAAAGTGACCTAAAATGTTTAAGTTATTAACGTCAGGCAGCTAGTATCAGGAGCTGAAAGTTTCGCATGTGTTGTCCCATTGCTAATCCCATCTCACGCACAATACCTGTCTCTTGCTTTGCAGCGGCTGTGTATACTTGTTTACACTTAAGTTGATTACTGAAAATAATGGTGTTCTCATCAGGACCCTGAAAGAGAGCTTTCTGAGTTATTGAAGGAAAAATGATTCATTTTTCAAAACTCTGAGGTTGTGATCGTGATATCTTATTGTGATATCTGTGGTTGTGATCAGTCTTTTTTTCTGAGTTATGCGTCCGGACTTCTTTACGACGTGTAGTTGAAA